AGCATATGAACAAAGTTACAATTTTTCACTTGGCTTTCCAGAAGTATCAACTTTGCTCTGAATGCCTTGATAAGTGCAAATAAATCACAGACTAAGTTATTTTCACCCTGCAACTTTAAATTCAAATGGTTCATATGGTTCAGCAGATCAGCAAAAAATGCTAATTTCCAAAGCCACTCGGTATCTGATGAAAGTGGTTCGTGGTGGTTTTTCTCGGTAAGAAATATATCAATTTCATTCCTGAGCTGAAAGAAGCGCGAAAGAACCTTTCCACAGCCAAGCCATCGAACTATGTCAGGTCAATAAGCTCGGAATCACATTTACCAGTACTCATTGCAAATTTCTGCACAATTTTCGCGGGCCGGGTAAAATCACATCACGGGCCGTAGTTTGGAGACCCTTGGTCTAAAGGGTTCTGCCGATGGTGTATAACACTAAGAATTAATGGGGTTTTGGACTTTGTCCATCACTTTCCTAAAGAAATGGTCTATACCGGGTCTATACCGGTTGTACATGTAGATTCTAGAGGATTCTGCCAATTGTGTATAACACCCAAAATTACTGGATTTTTGGATTTTGAACGAAGTCCAAAAACCAAGTAATTCTGAATATATCGATACTGCATACTAATGTCATACTTACATATGTATAAGGCGTTCAGATAAATGAACTGGAAAATTACGCGGCATTTTCAGTATGCACTTTTCGGGTCCCCCCCCGTAATCGCCTAGAAAAGCACCAGCGGGTGTTTTGGGGACTCGATGGACACTGTCGTGGGCCGCACAAAACCAACTGGTTTTCCGCGAGTTAAGTCAATGTAGGAAATTAAGATGAACTGTTTAATTCAGATATTATGCCGTACTTAAAGGTTTCCGCAACTCCGCTAGCCTCTCAGGCGGAAAGGTCTCACGCTCCTCGTGCCAAGTTGTACGGACTAGCAACAAAGTCGACAAACCAGTAAAACTTACCAAAATTACAAGGGACGCTGCATTCTTGGCACCTTAATACACTTATACACGTATGACCAAAATTAACTTCATTTTCGGCAATAGAACAAATTTTAAACTTGAAGGTTGAAAACGCGATATCATGTCCAAAACGAATGACGGATTTTCGAGAAGAATATTCAAGCCTAGTATCGATTTCGTCCAATTTGTATTGAATGTGCCCTTGGTGTTTCGATTTATCCCACGTATAACAACGATAACGGGGACAGGATTTAACATTTTCCTGACAACAGTAAGAGACCCTGAAGAGAGACGCACCAAGTTCCAGCAGAATGCTGGTACCTGTCTAACAAACCGCGGCGTTACATCAATTAAGACAGTAATACCCAGAACATTTATTTGCTTTACTGGCCACGCATGCTCTCTGCGGCATGCAGAAGTAGGGCGTTACGAAAATTGGTCGGAATATTTCGAGGTGGTGTTCATATTGTTATAAATATTTCTAAGTTTATGAAGGCCATATTTGGACATCCTTATGGCTTTGGGCGTCTATCGCAGTGAAATCCACAATATCTCTGAACAACGTGAGAGGTGGCGTGGTGAGAGAAGTGAACCTGATGTTTGTCTGATTCTATGACATAATCGCCCTAACTATGCGGCATATTGTGCTTATATCGCAAAGGAAACTCGCACGATTCATTCGAAACATCCTTAGGAGCTCATTAAAAAAAATAACGGCGGCAACAGGTAATGGCGTGTTTGCTTCTCATTGGCTTCTAGGCAGGGTAAATACTCCTCACGCAGTGTACACGACGCCTCCCTTCATTGCAGCAGCAACACGTTCAGGCGCAGTGACCATTGTGCTGGCGCGTTACAAAATGCTCCTTTAACTCAACTTTCTGTCAGCTTGTGTGAATGCACTGCGTAACCATTCAGAATGGAGTGGGTTTCATTTCCATAGATATGAACTTTGTGGAAGTGAGTCATGAAAGGAACCGGAAGAAATAAAGGTCTAAGGCAGTATTTCTCAAACTTTTTACCTCTGAGCCCCCCCCTGACAAGAGAAAATACTCTC